TTTTTTATTTTAAACATTTTGTCTCAGTTAAATCTAAACAAATAGGCCCTTATAGAATGCATGAGTTAATTTTTTAAATTAATTGATTTTTAAATTCATACTGTGGTATCATACTGTTTGATTTCTTAAATTCATACTTTGGTTTGAATTTGTGCTATTATATACTGTTCAAGCTTTAATTAATCTCATTAGCAAAAGTCTTTGTATTTTAATTGTTCTTTGATTGGTTGTTCAGAATTTCATTACCAAAAGTCTTTGTGGAATTATAGAATTCTCTGATTGGTTGTTGAGAGTTTCATTATTCTAGATTAGTTTAATTGGATATCTTTATGTATTCAAATTCAAATTATTATTTACTAAATTTGACAGCTCTTTTTTTCAATCTTGATAAGACATGTGTCTTAGGTGGCAATAGATTTCTGAACTGAGATTAATTTCCAATATTTTTGTAAATTACTTTCGTAAATTATACTAACAGATTTTATCATTTTTGTAAATTACTAGATTGTTGTGCTTCAACCTTATTGGGGATATAAATACAAGTTGATATGAAGACCTTTCGAAAATTGATGAGGCGTTAGTAAGAATTGTAGGAAAGAACAAATTTGAAGACATTGTCAAACACATATTTTTGTGAAGTATACATAGTTTGTAAAGCAGACGATAGCTATGACCCACTTTTTATAAAGCTTTCCACTGATGTAGACTTTGTTGCATTTCAAATATTTTTGTAAAGCCTTTTATTCCCCAATATTTTTGCATTTCCAGTATAGCTAAATTTGGCTTAAGTGTATTTAATATAATGTTTGTTTGGATTATGTAGTGGCAAATCTTATTTTATTTTTTTTAACTCCAGTTAATTTAATGGCTTTATTTTTGTCTGGGTGGACATCTCTGTATGGGTGTTTTTAGGTGTGTTTGTTTTCATGCATAATGTTGATTTCTCATCTAGAACACGTTTCTTTCCTATAACAGGTTTCATGCTCCTTTGTACCAATGAAATGTATCTAAGGTCAGCTGCTTCTCGTGCTCCTTTTGAAAATTTAATATTGCTTGATATTATTCTGCTTTTAAAACTCCATACCTTTTGTTTTCCTTTTGTACTTATAAATGCACAATTTATCGATTGTGCTAGGGTGGATTTGAGCAATATATTCTTGGTACCTATTAATAGTTGGAGCTATTTGATGTTTATTTAAACTGTTTTCTGGTTTTGTTGCAATATCTGTTTGTAGCATTTCATTACACCATGTTAACCCATTAAAGGTATCCTAATTCTTTAATAGAGTAATTGGCTTCCATTGGGAATAAAATTGTGTCAGGTTTTTTTTTTGTTCATGAAATTTTTTAAGATTTAATATTGTCATTTCTAAGATTTAATATTGTCATTTCTTATTGCATAACATTTGTTTAGGGAGCACTGTAATATGGCATATGGTTGCTTGGTCTATTTATTACTTCCATTTTTTATTTTTATTTTTAATGTTTTTTTTTTTTAAGTTTAACAGGGGAGCTCTGTTTTTGGTTAGTTTACTTTTTTGTTTTTGTTTTTTTTGGACAAATTTGTTTGGGTTTGCTCGCAGTGTTTATGAAAGAGATCATGTTCTAATTGCACTTGAAAGTCATGTTTTCAACCCTTTACTTGATTGGTATGTTCAATTACAACTCTATGTATTGACATGTGTCTTGGATATTGTTGACTTGGTTAAATGGATTTGATATAACATGATGACTTAGTTACATAGATTGATATAAATGGATTGATATAGCATGAACTGAAAATTTACGCTTTATTAGGATGTCTTTCTTTTATTTTATCAAGCAAAAGAAAACACAACATAATCATAGTATATTGCCTTTGTTGTCCTGTTGTTCTTTCTACTTGGAAGTTGATTGTTTAAAAAATATGATTCAGTCAGCAGGGAAAAACATGTGCGCTCATTTTTTGTCAAGTGCTTTGAAGAAGGTAGTAAAACTAGAGGAGGGGAACATGCTAAGATCATGGGAGCTGGACTATGTTAAGATTAGAGAAAAACATGTTAAGACGAGGAGAGCTGGACTATGTTAAAACTAAAGGAGGAAAACAAGTTACGATCATTTTCATTTCAAGTATTGATACTAGCAACAGTTGATGGCTATTGAATGACTTTAAATCTTTTTAATTTGGCTATTTTTTAAAGCAACAATTTCTATTCTAAAATTGTCTATAGCTGATGATTTTCACATTAATTTGACACACTAGATTAGTTGCAGGAATTATTTTTTTTACAAAATTAAATTTCACCGCTAAGCAGTTTTTCATAAGCAATTTTATGAAAAATGTATTGCTACATTATTGGGATGGAGTTGATTTCTTCTTGATGATATGATACAGTTAGTTTTTCAATTTACAGTTGACTGCAAAATTCACTGTTTTAAGGTGATGATTCATGTTTTTTGTTATATAGATTGTCTATTTTTTGTTATAGAAAATTAAATATTGGGGCTCCCTCCACGATGTAGAGAGGTGTCGCTGCTTTCTTCAGATTGATTGAAAAAATATTCTTTGAGATTTGATTTCCGTATCTTAACATGTAAACAATTTCTATAGACTACTATTTGTCAGGCTATACATTGCATTTGGCCTAATCCATGTTGTCTGTTTTATGTTATTTTAATTAGATATTTGTAGTTCAGGGTACTGTGGCACTCACCAATGTATTAGTTGTTAGCCACAAACTAATTGTACGAGTGCTGACTTGATCTTTTATTTGAATCAGCTTATTACAATTGAGTTCTCCACGTGGTACCAAAAAAAATTGTCTTTCTTTCGAATTCAATTGATTTATTACTTTGGACATGTAAGTTGATTTATTTGTTTGGACGTGTAAGTTGTCGCTACTTTGGACATGTCAGTTGTCTTTTTTCTTTTTCTTTTTTCCTTTCTAAATACACTTTTTCCCTCTCTAATTGTCTTCTAATAACATTATGTTCTCTTTCATTTGCATAGGACGATGGAGATTTGCACAAAACTGTAATATGGGCTCTCTTTACTCATATTCATATTTCATTGCGAAAATTACAAATCAATGAGTTTTTAAATATTTTGTACATCTTCTTATTATACATTTTCTTTCAGGTATTGACACTAGCAATACTTGATGGCTATTGGATGACTTTAAAATCTTTTTAATTTGGCAATTTTGTAAAGCAACAATTTCTATTCTATAGTTGTCTATAGTTGATGTAATTGATGATTTTCACATTAATTTGACGAAGCAGATGAGTTGCAAGGAATTATTTTTTTAACAAAATTAAATTTCACCATTTAAGTGGTTTTATGATAAATGTATTACTATATTGTTGGGATGCTATGGCATGGAGTTAATTTCTTCTTGATGATATGATGCATTTAGTTTTTCAATTTACAATTGATTGCAAAATTCACTGTTTTAGGATGACGATTCGTGTGTTTTGTTATATAGATTGTCTATTTTTTGTTGCAAAAAATTCAATATTGGAGCTCCCTCCATGATGTAGAGAGATGTCAATGCTTTCTTCAGATTGCTTGGAAAATTATTTTTCGATATTTGATTTCCATATCTTAATATGTAAACAATTTCTAAATACAACTATTTGTCAGGTTATGGTATTTATGTTGTCTGTATTATGTTATTTCAATCAAATATTTGTGGTTCGGGGTACTATATCAGGTGTTAGCCACAAACTAATGGTAAAAGTGCTAACTTGATCTTTTATCAGATGTTACAGACTCTACAAATTTTAACATGATACGTACAAATTACAACTACATTTTGATTCCAATATTATTTACACCGTGCCTAAAGGCACGGGCATACACTAGTTAATATATGAACAATGATTTTATAAAACAAATATGCAAATTCTATCAAATAAAAGCATAGGTATAAAATTCATTATTTTTTGTTATCTCACACTTTGAAAAATATATGAATTTCCTATGGTATTAATTCTCACAATTCTTAGAGAAATATTAATAAAATTAGGTCTTTTGGATTGTTTACCACATATTTTTCAAAATGCTAGACAAAAGAAATTGATGAATCTTAAGCCATAGTTTTTTTTATTAAATTATTGTTTATCATTTTGTTTGATTATATTTGTTTAATTTTTACTATTAAAAATATAAGTTTTAAGTAAATTAAAATTCTTTATACATTTTTTTATTTATATTTTAATTAGAAAGGTAGATTTCAAAGAAAACATGCCATTAAGGAGAAGTGAACTTTTTACGAATAAGTTATGAAAAATAAGACTTAATTTGATAGGACTCACTAGTAAGCTTGATAGCAAAATAAAACTTATTGGTAATTTTCTCTACAATAAATGGACAAAAATACTCCTACTCAGTTTTATTTAATAGAAATAAACGGAAGGTTAGAATTGTACCCAATTTCAAATTATGGGGTTCAAATTGAAACAATTAAAACTCCCATCCCAGGTTTGATTTGTTACAAGGGTCAAACCCCTTTTATTTTTATTTTTTTTAAAAAAAATTCCCTTTAAGCGATTATCTAAATTTTCAAAAACTATTTTGCACCCAAAAAAATAGTTGTTTTCAAACTCTTCATTGTTTTTGTTTCTGAAAACACAAAAAACAAAAAATGATAACATTGAAAATGAAAACGATACCAAACAGTCCCTTAATTTTTATTTTTGTCCCTAGGGTAGAGGAAAAGTGTGACAAACCCCTATAGAACATGAGCATGGAAATCGTTGCGTATCAATGACGGGTACTTTCACTAATTGAGGTAGGACAAGCAAAGTGAGAGATCTACGGTGTCCTGTCTTTTAATATCCCACATGACACTTCTCATTACCCTCTGTGTTTATCGAGTGAAAGGTATTGCTTTTGTATGCACTTCATAGCTTCATTATTATCTTATTCAACTAACAACTTCTTGGCTTCTCTTTATTCTCCTCTTTTCTCAGATTTGTATAATTCCATTATAAAATTTAAATTACTTGCAAACATGTACCTGCTCAAGAGAGGCCCGTTCCACCCGCATAGACATGCCCAAAGCTCTTTGATCTAGAGAAATAAAATCAAAAGAAGCATAAGAAGAGAAAACAATAAAATAAAAAATAGAAAAGCTAGTGGAACCAGTATGCATACGGATCACTTACGTTTCTTCCCATTGATATGGTCCAAATAGTTTGCAGAATCCTTCACTACACATTCACAAACTGAGCAGTAGTACCCTGCCTGCAAAAAATATAATTATACCACAGAATGCCAAAGCAAAGAGATTATAGGATAGAAGCAAATGATAAAATTATAGAAAATCATTCTTCCTTCCTTTCAAAATATTCCATGGATGTATATATTACATTCACATATGAAAAGCACCAGTGTCTCAATCCAAACTAGATATCCTTAAGCAATAAGTTGATATGAGACCAAAATTGCTTGGCATGGTTATTTATCCCAGAAAAAATTACCTGGCATGGTGTTGCCAGAGTCTAGAACCACGTGTGGACCAACTATGACCAGACATCACCTTACCCCTGATGTTAAGCCATTTAGTGTTTCACATGATATCATTGTTCCCACACTTAAATGATAGTAGTAGAAGGTGGTGGGGTAGTGGTAGTAATTGTAATGGTGGTAGTAGTGGTCATAATAGTAGTAGTATGGTTATTCAACAATTACAGCTAATGACAAGGTACATATCCAAGACCACAAAAAGAATGAGAAGATAGTAGTAGTAATAGTAGTAGGAGCAGCAGCAGCAGCAGCAGCAGTAAGGTTATTCAACAATTATCGGATAATGAAAAGCTACATATCCAAGATCACAAAGAGAACGAGAAGAGACATATGATATTACTATATTAATATGTGATTCGAGAATACCTGTTGACTTAGGGGTGCTATTGGAGTAACAACCTGCCAGGGAAAAGATAATCATATATTGAAGTAAATACAAAGAAGTAATGAACCATGTGAGAAAATAGCAAAAGCCAGAATCCAAGTATATCCAGTATACGAGGACAAAGGTTTTTCAATAGTTTAAGGACGATAAAGAAATAACAACCATTCTTATCTCTTATTATAGCAGGAAACTGATAAATAACCCAAGAGCATGATAAATTCCATCATCCCTCAAATAGCATCCAAAGATTTATAGCAAAAACCAAAACTTTTACCTTCAAAGCCACAGGAAAGAGTTTCATACCCATATGCAGAAATTCATGTGCTACAATACATCTAACCTAAAAATTTAATTTGGGGACTTGACAGTGGTTCGAGTGAGGTTTTGAAGATGATTGATAAGATGGATAATCTTGAGGCAAGGGGAGCCTCAATGAGGCTCTTAGGATGAAAAAAATGGTTTTGGAGATCAAATTTGAGAAATTTGTGTATAGCAAACAAATCTCTTGGAGCCAAAAGGCCAAGATCAAGAGTTTCATGCCCATATGCAGACAACTATATTCAGGTGCTACAATATGTCTAAGCTGAAGGTTTAAATTGGGGACTTGAGAGTGGTTAGAATGAGGTTTTGAAGATGATTGATGAGATGGATAATCTTGAGGCAAGGGGAGCCTCAATGAAGCTCTTAGGAGGGAAAAAATGTAGTTGAAGATCAAATTTGAGAAATTTCTGTGTAGGAAGCCAAAAAGCCAAGATCAAATGGTTGAAGGAAGGAGATAACAATTCTAAGTTGATTCGTAATGTAAATAGGAAAAGAAAAAAAAAATTAAAAAAAAAAAAGTTATAAAAAGGTTAACATCAATTGTGGAGAGGGAAGATCAAATTATCAATGCGATCTTTTCTTTCTGTATAAGGTTGTACTCTTTGTGTGGGGCTAATGGGCTAGGTATCTTAGGTTTAGAGACATCTCCTATTGATGATAGTTGATGATAGTAAGTTTGGATGCTTAGAGAGGCCTTCAATGAAGTGGAGATTACTATGGCCAGTTTGATGTGAGAGGGACAAGTCTCAGGGCCCCAATGGCTTTACTATGGCCATTTTTCAAGATTGTTGGGAGGTTGTAAAGAATGATCAGATACTTGTACAAATGCATTTTTGCAGCATTTTTTGAGAATGGGATTGTTAACGCTTGTACAAATACTTCATTTATATGCTTGGTTCCTACGAACGAAAATTCTTTTCAGATGACCGATTTTAGACCAACTAGCTTAGTTACCTCTTTGTATAAAATATTGGCAAAAGTATTGTAAAACTGGTTGAGATTAGTTTTAGGGGGCACCATTACTCCTTCTCAAGGGGCTTTTACAAAAAGTAGTCAAATTTTGGATGTAGCTTTGATAGTTGATGAGGTGATAAAGACATATAGCACTAATAAGGAGGGTATTATTTTTAAAGTTGATTTTGAAAAAGCATATGATCATGTGGGCTGTGGTTTCTTGGATTTTGTTTGTGGTTTAAGGGGTTTTAGTGATAGGTGGAAGAAATGAATTCCAGTCTGTTAGAGTCCAGACTCTAGTTATTGGGTCCACTCTCAAGAGATGGGGGTTGTCCTCATCATCATCCATGCCTGAACCTATGAGAGGCGTGAATATTGAAACTGATTTCCTCTTCTCCAAGTAGAAGGAGCCAACCAAAGTCCATATTGTTGTTTAAGAAGCAAGTATGAGTCCATGACGTTCAAGTTGATGCCACGAGATTTTCTCTTACTTGATGCCACTAAAATGGCTTAAAACCCAAAAAAATTGTTTCAACAAACTAACAATAGTCACCAGATGTTAGTTTTCCAAAAGAGAATGCATGCTAAATCAAAGAGCTAGTTTTTCAAAAGAATCATTATGTGCATCCAGCAATCCACATGGACAATAATAAAATACTCAATCAACAGATAATTGAAGTCAGTTTTCAAATTGTACGATTTCTTATTTGCATGTCAATAGAGAATAGGGGCAGAATACATCTTCTAACTTCAAAGATATCTACTACAAAATCCGATAACAAGTCCTATGATGCAGCCTATATTTGCAAACTTGGTTTATTTCATTTATTTTGGAAATGAGTAATAGTTTGTCAACTTCTGTTAGTTGTTTTTGGCATATTTATAAGCTTATGGGTTGGATGTGTCCACAACGAATCAAAGCAATCACGTGCTAGGCACGTCTCTTAAGCTACATAAGATCATGACACATTAGCTATGAGAAACCAAGGACTAGGATCTATGAATTTTCTTTTTTATACCTATTCCTAACACTTTAGGGACATTGGTTGGGTAATTGGGGGAAATTGTAAAGGTGGAGTCTGTAACTCTCTTTATTACTTTTCTGGCACTTCCTCTCTTCACTCATTCCATCTTTGTCTCTCAACCTCTCTTAATCAAGTTAGTGTTGCCAATGCCAGTGATTAGAAGCTTTTTCGGCATGGCTTGTTTCTCTTTCCTTTGCTTGTCACTGTCATTGCCAAGAATGAACCTCAGTTCTCACCCTTCCTCCATACCTGTCCATTTCCTCTCGAAGTTAAACATTTTATCAACCGACTTGTAACCAATTATAAAAGCTGGAGTGGTGTAATTTTAATAGTTTCAAATCCAATCAGGCCTTTATTTGATTAGTTTGTTTAGTCCTCTGCACATTGAAAAAATTAACCATTTCTTTTCCCATTGGTCATATCTTAAGTTCATAATTACAGCACATTTAGTAAATGTTTTAGTGATGTTTGTAATTGTAATATAACACGCCTTACTTAATGAATTATATTTCAAAATCAATATTCTTTCTTTCTTTTCTTTTTTCTTTTTTTTTTCACTCAATTTCAATTGTCTTCCTTGTTGTCTTTTTGGTTTTCATGCACACTTAATTGATTGGTAGGTTCTGGTGCCTACCATAAAGTTCTCCACAATTTATGTCTACAAAGGCTTAAATAACCCCATTGTTGCACTGCTCTTACATTTCACTTCTCAAGTTATTGCAAAAGGAAAATAAAATAAAAATCAATCAATTAAACAGCAGAAGATAAATCCATGTCCTTGTCAGTTCTACGGATTTGAAACATGCATTCAAACAACCATTACAATAAGAAACTAATCAACTATAGTTTCTAACAATAGCCTATGCCATTTAACGTGCCAATTGAAATTAACTATTCATCAGCAACTACAATGGAAGGCTGACATAAATTAAAACAAAGTTGTTAACCTGAGTCTTTCCCAAACGAGAGTCAAGGTCCACTTCATAATCCCTGTGTTTCAAAGGTTTCCTTTGTATTGGGGGACCTTTTGCTGCAAAAGATGCAAACCCATCAAATAAAACTCCCATGTAGTCAAGACTTAATAAGTACACACAATGCATATGAGTAGAGGATCAACTATAAATCAACCATCATTTCAAGTTCAAAAATTAAATATATAAATATTAGTTAAATTCACTTACATTTGGATTTAGACCGAGATTCTGTCTCCTACATTACAACGAAAATCAACCCATTAATTAGACAAATGAAAAAAAAATAAAAAAAATTGCCCCTTGTGTCATTTTGGTCCCTGTAATTTCAATTCGCTTGATTTTGACCCTTAAGCCTCGTTTGGGGAGTAACTATTTTAGCCAAAAAGTCACTATAAGTTGTCACATCACTCTCTCTACTTTTCTGCACATCTTTTTATAAAAAGTCAAAAAGTTACAAAAATAGTCTATTCCCAAACGAGGCCTTCATTTTAGATTTTGTGTCAATTTAGTCTAATTGACAATGCCGATTAGGGTTTTTGAAAGAAAATGGTCACTGAGTTGTTTGAGGTTAACTCACTTAACAAATCTACAATTTTACCCACAAAAGCATAACACATGCCACTTATGTGCTCATTTTCTATTGAAAAAATGATTGTAATCAATTGGACCAAATGGAGACAAAATCATAAATCAAGGTCAAAATCGAGCCAATTGAAATTATAAGAACCAATCTAAAATGACACGCAGGCTTTTATATAACAATTATCGGTATAATTTGCCCCAAAAAAAAATTAATACAGTGGTCAAATAAGTACTGAGAGACAAAGAACCTTTTGTTCGCGCTCACGAGCACGTTCCAAATACTCTTCTCTATCGAACTTCCTCCGAAAAGTGTTGTCAACTCCAGCAGCCTGCATACAAACAAACACAGTTGATTTTAAGCATCAATTTTTTATTTTTTTTTGGTAACTTTAATTTTTTTATCACAAGAAAACACCATTACAAAACAAACAAGGGGCACATCCCAGCACTTCAAAACAAAACAAAACAAACCCATACACTAAACCATGTCAGACAACAAACCCAAAAAAAAAAAAAAAAAAAAAAGAACTATAGAACCAGAACAAATACAGGGACTAAGCTTTATGATTGTAGCTAGAGCAAGGCAAACCCCACTACATACAAACTTGCCAATTTTGCAAAGAATTCTTAACTGCCCTCATTGAGCTAGCTCTAGCTCTAGCTCTAGCTCTAGCTCTAATATCCTTAACCATTTCAGCCACAATCACATCTTAATGTCTAAATTTCTGAGCAAAAACTCTTCTATTCCTTTCTACCCAAACTTGGAGCAATTCACTTACAATACTTAGTTAACATTCATAAAAAGTATCTAATGAATTATGAGTTCAATACATCCTGTTTAGCAGAAAGACGGATATCCTTGCTCATTATCAGACAATCACTTATTCGCAAACCTCATGTGGACATAATAGTTTTCATTTCCCATCTCATGAAAAACCCTTTTCGCTCCGCTTGGCCTTATCCCCGTCTAGGGGTATTTTAGTGATAGGTTCAAAAGCAACTGGACGATCTTATTTGGTCTAAACACCTGGCGGCAAACTCCTATGTTCCTTTCATTTCGTATTTTTGAACAAGTTCCTGAGTAACAAGCCTATATGTTTTTATAGAGTACAAGCCAAAGAAAGCTTGAACATAGTGCAACTCAGATTGCTGTTATTACAAGACCAACCTAAAGGATCACTGTAAATATGAATTAAGCAACTTTGCCCAGAAACTCTCAGTAAATGGACATAAGAAGAACAGGTGTTCATGATTTTAAGCATCATTGTTTGAAACAGCATCAATATACATGGATGTGCATGAAGAAGAGTATGGAGAGAATTGAGCTTACATTTTTGCTGGGATGAGACATTGGAATTGGAATAGAATCAGAAGCTGATTTACACTTTTACTTGAGAGAAATTCGATTGTAAAGATGAATTCGAGAAAACCTTGTTGAGAAGAAGAGAGTAGACAGCGTTGATTTAGGTAAATAGAAACCCTAGTTGTGAATTGCGATTGATTGGAGAATTCAGAATGAAGAAAAGAGAACCGAGGTATATTTTCGGATATTTTTAGTAGAAAATATAAAAATAAAATGTGTTTTTAAAAGGAAAAAAAATGTACATTAGAAAAAAAAAACTCAAAATTTGACATTTGTAATCAAATAATTTTTTAATTTTTAATTTTATCAATTTAAATTTAAAATTTATTTATTGATTTTCAATCTAAATTATTCTTCTATTTTCATTGAATATTACTGACGAAAAAAATAATATTTTAGGCATCAAACTTAGGGCCAATCTGGAAACAAAAGAAAAAAGTTGTATTTTGCAGGTTGGGCCAATGGCTTTTTTGCATTTGGGGAGCTTCTATTTACACACACTCATTCCTCTCTTTACACATCTTTTTCAATAAATAATTGGTTCGGAAGTAGATTTTCGAAAATAAGTAATTGGTTCGAAAGTAGCTTTCCGAAAATAAACAGTTGGTTCGGAAGTAGACTTCCGAATTTTTATTATTTTTTCGACATTCAACTTCCAAATGTGTTTATTTGATGTCTATAATAATAATTTCACCTGAAAAAAAAATTATAATAAAAATAATTTTTATGAAGTGTGTGCAAAGAGGGGAAGGTGGATGTGTAAATAGAAGCTCCCAACCATTTGGGGAGGTAATTAAAAACTACATGTGAAATTACAATTATACCCTTCATGTTGTTTAAATGAGCTATAGACTATATGGGTGAAAGTGATTGTTTTCTGATAATACAGCGGGTTCCAGATGGAACCGGTCGAGCTGATCCATGCTTCTCAAACCGGTGTCCAAGTGATCAAGCCCACTAGAAGACTTGCACACGAGTTCAACGGGAAACGGGGAGTCCCCCAGTGAACCCTTCGACGAACAAGCTAGAGAGAGAAGCGGAATGTAGAGATGAATTAGAGATAAAAAAGCTTAACCTTCTTCTTGTCTTCGACGTCTGCTTATATCCTCCGGTAATCATTTCGTTGTCCCTTCTGACCTGTCACCTTGGCTGAAAATCTATGCTCTAGCTTACCTTGTTCATGGTGAAGACGTTCTGTCTCGACGGAAAGGGGTTAAGGGGCTTCATTAATGGCGATGTGCAGTGGCAATAACTTTGCAGATCTTTGTCTGCTTATATGGCTTGCCCTTCTCTTGCCATGTGTCTTGCTGTCATTGGTTCTTATTGCTACGTGGGGCTTCAACAATATTGGGCTTTAGTATTTGAGTTATGTATTGGGCCCTAAATGGTGGGCTATAATCTTTATGGGCTTACCCATGTCAGTAGTCCCCCATTCCCAAGTGCAGCTTTAGCCCAACGAAGGGAATAATAAAGAAAACAAGGGTTATGAGAGACCGGCAGGGTGAAGGCCGACCGAGAAGATGGACCAACCATGAGGAGGGTCGACCGCAAAGGGTGGCCGAGCAGAGGGACCGACCATGAGAAGGGCCAACCGTGAAGGGTGGCCGAGCGAAGGGACCGACCATGAGGAGGGCCAACCGTGAAGGGTGGCCGAGCGGAGGGACCGACCATGAGGAGGGCCGACCGCGACTAGGTGACCGAGCGGAGGGATCGTCTATAAGTAGGGCCGACCGCGAAGGGTGACTGAGCGGAGGGACCGACCATGAGGAGGGGCCGACCATGACTAGGTGATCGATCATGAGGAGGGCCGACCGCGAAGGTTGGCCGAGCAGAGGGACCGACCATGAAGAGGGCCGACCGTGAAGGCTGGCCGAACGGAGGGACCGCCCATGAGGAGGGCCAACCACGAAGGGTAGGTGATGTGGCGTGGGGCTCGAGAGGTGGCATGGCACGTGTTTGAAGTGAAGTGGAATAGATAGAGAAGGGGAAAAAGGCAGTGGATCGTGGTCATACACGTGGCGGAATCTCGTAGTGGGGAAGGTTAGGCGTTGGGCAAGAAGTGAAACGATAAGTCATTACAGGGTGTTGAAAAGACAGTTTTGGCCGATTTTGGAAAATTTTCAAACTGCGAAAATTAATTGTGACTCTTAGAATACAGGCAAGCCTTGGGCTTTTAGTATTATTCGTTTTACCTACTTTTTTGCGAAAAATCAAAACATTCCAAGTGTAAACTCCTTCGTTGCTAACGATACACCCCTGCAATACTTTGTGAATTTTATTGCACTCGCATCCGAAGCTATTCGCAGACATACAAGAGAGATGGCCAAAGAAGAAGCAACAACCGCAAGGGTTGATCCACTAGGCGATGATGACGCGATTGATTTGGCAGAACAATACCAAACGGAGCGTAGGGAGGGGGAGGGAGCGAGTGAAGAGGTGCGGGCTCGCCCCAGGACGATAATCTCAGCCGCGAGGCCTATCAGTCAGGTGGAACCAGACCATTGGCACACCAAGACGGATAGGTCCGTGTTGACAGCAAAGGAGTTAGAGGGAATAAGGAAGAAGTACCAAATACCCTCGGACATAAGGCTAAGAGTGCCCACAACCACAGAAAGGGCATCAGATAGGCGACCGGGCGAGTTTAGCCTCTACGAAGAAGCATTGCGATGAGGGTTAAGGCTACCCCTTCCTCAGGTCGTAGTGGATGTGCTAAAAAGACTAGAAGCGGCGCCAGGGCAAATGATACCGAATGCCTAGAAGATAGTAATGGCGTGCGCGAGTGCATGGCCGCAAGCGATCGGGGGGAGGGCGATGACGGTAGAGGAGTTCTTCTCCTGCTACAAGGCCTCTAGTCAGCATGAAACCTGGGTGACACTGCAGGCGGTGGAGGGGCGAGGTTTAGTGGCGGGTCTTTCATCGTCGGTGAAGAGGTGGAGACCAAGATGGTTCTTTGTGACGGAGAATAGTGGGGCTAGGGTACGTACAACGTGGAAGGTCCCCACCAAATCAGTCGAGCCTAAGTTGGGTATTGAGGCCGAAGACCAAGTGAAGAAGGTGAGGGAATGGAGGGAAGAGAAGGGGGTGAGATGGGATGAGCTGGTCCTGCCTTCGACATTGTTCGCCCTGAAGTTGGGACCGCAGTCGTTAGAGGAGGACCTAGCAAGGGAAGAGCTTGAGGTACAGAGGAAGGCGGAGGAGGAGGAAGAGAGAAGACTGTTCACTAGAGCGGACAAGTACAAGGAGACGCAGCTTGGGCCTGCTTCGAAACCAATCGCGAGGGAGCGAATCTGACCGCATCCCAAGCCGTTAGGGGAGAAGGATCTGGGCAGCTTTGAGCCACGACCGCCCCCAGTGGATCCTCTGAAGGAGAGGAACAAAAAAGAGATGGAGGCTTTGAAGAAGAAGAGGAGAATAAGGGAGAGTGAGAGGGAACCCGCCCTGAAGAGGAGGAGGGAGAGGGCGGTGGAGAAGACCCCCGAAGTGGGGTTGGGCGAAACAACAGAGGGGGTGGAGAGTGGGGCAATTGGCCCAAAAGAACAAATGGTAAGTGGGGCGATCGGTGGCGAGCAGAGCCACAGCCTAACGAGGGTGTTGTGCCCCAAGGAGAATGAGAGAGCGCTGGGTTGAAGACCGCCTTCTACCACGTCCCAGCGGTGTCCGGGCGAGTGGAAGGGGAAGGGAGAGAAGCCAGAATGGCTGCAAATCGCCTCTTGGGGGTGGTGAAAGACGCATCCGTTCGCTCGGTGGCTGGTTTTACTGAGGTTGAGCTGCTGAAGGGGTTATGCTCTGCCCAGATAGAGGTGACTACCCTAGCAGGAGCCCTGTTGAACAAGGCAGCGGCGGCGAAGGGTGAAGTGAGGAAGCAGAGGGAGAGGTTAGGGCAAACGGAGGCCCAGCTTGAAAATTTCAAGAAGGAGAACGTAGGCTGGAGGAGGGCGGCGCGGAGTGCATGTGCCAGGGGATTGGAGGAGACTCAGAAGGCAAAGAAAATAGAAGTGCTGGCAATGGTGCAAAATAACGTTGCCGAGCGTGCCCATGCTGAGCTGTTCACGGCCAAGTTAGAGCTGAAGGTGGAACACCGCAAGGTGGTGTCGCTCGAGTTCCAATTGGTTGGTGAGTAGAAGAAACTGGAAGATGCCCAATAAGCCTGCACTGTCGCCAACGATCGGTTTGAAAAGGCCATGACCAGCAATGAAGATCTGCGTGCTCAGTGGGTCAAAAAAGAAGAAGAAGCAAACCAGAAGATCGCTAAGCTGGGGCGGGATCTGGCAGGCAAGCGTGCCAAGGCAGCGGGGTTGGAGAAAGAAAAGGTCAAGGCAACCTCTGAAAGGGCAGCATACCCCGACTTATACGTCGCAGCAGTAGAGCAGTTCAAGGGGTCTGCTGACTTTCAGATGGCTGTCGATGCCACGATCGCCAACAACTTGGCGAGAGAGGGGTCTGGGAGGGCTGGCCCGTCAGGGACGACCGCTAGGAACAAGAGTGAAGAAGAAGTGATCCAGAGCTTCCAGCGGTCGGACTTCTATAAACGCGAGATGGCTGAGTTCTAGGACAGCGGCTGGAAGATGTTTAAGCGTAAGGCAGAAGAGCTGTTCCCAGACTTGGACTTCAGCAGTGTGAAGATTGATGAAGACGACGTGGCCCAGACCTCCTTAGACGAGGGTGTTGAAGAAGAAGACCTCGCCTCAAGTGAAGAGAAATAGTTGGTGTGACCAAGATTTGTACTTAGAGTTTTGGTTTTTTTTTTTTTTTTTTTGCATTGCTGTAATAAACTCATGTATAAGTTGTGAATGAATAAAATTATGAGTTGTGTTTGTGTTTTTATGCTATTGTCTTTATTATTTGAGGATCTACAAAGAATAAAAGTGGTGGTCTGCATAGGGTTTGTGTATAAGTCACTGCAAAATTTAAAATGTAAGAAAACCTTAATGCAGAGTGAAGTTTAAAATGTAAAAAAAACTCAATGCAAAGTGAAGTTTAAAATGTAAGAAAACCTCAATACAGAGTGAAGTTATGAATCATGACCCAGCAAGGAGCCAGTCTGACTTGAAAAACGTTGAACCGGAATTTGACTAAGTATGGCAACTATGCCACGATCATAAAGTTGCAATAATGGCCTTGGCCGATCTCTTCATTCGTGCTTAGTTCGGGTTGAGCCATGATGAAATCGGTCGGGCTGCCTCTTCTAGTAAC